CTTCATCTTTGTGACTTAGAGACTCTTTTGTTTATGTTGCAAAGTCTCTTGAGATATACAATAATCAATTTGTTGACACATTGATTACTTTTCCGCAGCAAAAGTGAGGCGGCTTTATGATATCGCGAATGTCTTGTCATCAATGAATCTCATTGAGAAGGTAAACTCAAATTATCATAGCTGCAGTGTTTATGAACCATCTATGATTTGTAGCCGTAATTTAGTCTTACTATGTGGTTTTCTCTGGTGACAGACTCATACCTTAGATTCTAGAAAACCAGCTTTCAAGTGGTTGGGATACAATGGTGAGCCTACTTTCACACTGAGCAATGATCTAATGCAAGCCGAATCAAGAAAAAGAGTGTTCGGAACTGATCTTACAAACGTCAGTGTCAAGAGAAGCAAAACCCATGAAAATGCTACAGAGAGGAGGCTAAAGATGAAAAAACATGCAGTAGCAGAGAGTTCTTATAGCAAAAGCTTTGATGCTCATGAATCAAGACATGGATCAAGAGGTTACCAGTTTGGACCTTTTGCACCTGCCACTGGTACATATCCGACTCCTGGTTTGGAAGATAACCCCAGGAGAGCTTTCGATGTGGAGAATCTTGTTTCGGATTACCGTCCCTCTTACCAAAACCAAGGTTGCCATAATTTACTCACATCTATTTGATATCCAATTTGACAAAGATTTTGCTAGAAATCTAACATATGAAACACTTCTTTTTTGCTGAATAAAATTTCAGTTTTGAAAGACCTCTTTGCACATTACATGGACGCTTGGAAGTCATGGTACAGCGAAGTCACCCAGAAGGATCCATTACCAAATACATCACAACACCCTTAGAAATTCTTCTTCTTCATCTCTTACCTGTGAACATTTTCTTTTTGACCACTGTGGATTTCGTTTCTCCACACAATGACATTAATTCGCCGATTGCACAACCTCTGTGCTGTTGAAGTCATTATAGGCTGTAGCCACCTTTTGCTTGATTTCAGTTGTATGCAAATTTATAAAGAGGTGTATGACATTGTTTTGAGAGAAACGAAAAACAAATATCATCCAATCATCTTTTATTTCATTAGAATTTCAAAAGTAACAACACAGTATATATTACAGAAGGACTATCTTGCTTGTATTGGTATACTCTCATTATTATACCTTTCAAAGAAATATGAGGAAGTATAGTGTTTGTCTCAGAGCTTGGAAGGAGGTTTGTACCATCCCCATGGTTCATCAGAGATATATTGAGTCACCTGCTTCACACTCAAGTAGTTCTCAAGTCCCCTGCAAGGAAGCACATATGTTTTCAACACCAAAGACAATCACAGTTGGTCATTTTTTTTTGTAACTTATAAGGTTAATATGGACACAATTCAGTCTGTTGGCGATTCTTTTATGTTTTGGTAATCTTCATAGTTATAGGAAAATATAGACACTTACCATTCTCCTAATTCACGGCCAAAACCACTGCGTTTGGTTCCGCCCCATGGAGCTTGGCTGAAGCATGGCTGAGAGCAGTTCACCCACACAATTCCCGCCTCGAAAGCCTAAAAAGTGAAAAACACAATGATCAGGATTCACAAACTCAAGAGATAAAGTTTAATCATGAGATGCATGCATGATGCATTACTGACGTTTTTTTGCCTAATAGTAAAGTTAGGAACTCACCTTACTAACGCGATCACACCTCTCCAGATCAGTGGATAATACTGCACCGGCTAATCCATATCTGCAAAATACAAATAAAGTCAGGCATAAGATTTTGTACATATCAGTGGAGTTTCTTGTTCATTGTAAGAAGAAAAATCAAAACTCACTGGGAGTCATTAGCCAGCTGAATTGCCTCATCCTCGGTGGAGAATGTTTTGACACACAAAACAGGACCAAAGACTTCCTCTCTCCAGATTTCCATTGAAGTAGTCACATTTGATATAATCGCAGGTTCAACAAAATATCCCTTCTTCAAATGCTGACGAACAGAAAAAATATAAAAATAATAATAATTAAGTGCTACGGGCTCTAGATAGTATTTGGACACAAAGAAGATCAGTCCCATTGTCAAGTACCTCAGGACGAGCTCCTCCACAGAGAACAGTTGCACCTTCATTCCTAGCGTTTGAGACAAACTTCATTACTCTCTCGTACTGCACATGATTAAGATGTAAGACTTACTTAAAAACATCTTTCGTGATCAAACCAAAATTGATAGATAAGAAGGTTTTGTGGGCATGAGGTGTTGATTATTGATCAGCAATATTACCTGTCCTTTGCTGACAACAGGACCAAGCCTACAGCCCTCTTCAAAAGGATCTGAAATCTTAATGTTCTTTGTCCACTTTACCAGCTTGTCCAAAAATTCGCCAGCAATTCTTTCCTGACAGTACATCAGAAATTTTTTTCCATCAAAACAACATTGCAGGAAGTATAGTGAAGCTTCTCTATCCTACTTTTATCAGTGGTTTCCAAGTTTTTACGATCACAGATACTTATCAAAAATCTATCGGAATTGCAGATGACTAGTCTTACCAATTAAAATGAACAAAAAATCTACTGAAACTGTGTATTGACCTTTGTATTGCTGGTTTCATGTAAAGGAGAACTTAAAAAAATATCTTTATATTATCTACTTGTTTTAGGACTAAAAAGGACTACATTATTTGAGAACGTCGATTTTATATTCCATAGCAAACCTCTAAAGAGCAGCTATGGGTGAATGGGAAACTGTGTTATTTGAGATATCAAATATCATATAAAGTTCGATGGAGAATTCGTAATCAGAGACTATTGTAGATTATATGCTCACTTACATGCACGAGAAGTCGAGATGTTGCACTGCAAATCTGACCATTCGTCCAGAAACAACCAAACATAGTCCATTCCACAGCTGTTTAAAGCAAAGGTGTCGTCACTAATTAAGCCACTAGTAGGAAGACATATAGCATGGTTTTCTTAAGGATCCAAAAGCACCAACCTTTGTCAATTTCAACATCATCAAAGACAATAATAGGGCTTTTCCCTCCAAGCTCCAAGGAAACAGGCTGTGAAATGAAAAAGTTCAAGATTCATATACAGACCCCGAAAAATCCTTGGTCAAATAAACAAAACCCAGATAGATAGTTGTTCCAAAAGAAAGCAACAAGAACACTTGGACTTACTTTAACCAATCGAGCAGCAGAAGTCATAATGTTGCTTCCAGTTGCCGTGCTTCCAGTGAATACAATCTGGTAAAGGATAAGATATATCAATACTTCAACTATCTTCAATTGTTTGACGTTCAGGATACCGACAAGGATAAGAGTAAAACTGACTATAATCAGACCTTGTCAACTTGTGGATGAGATGCCAGTGGAGCACCTGCTTCAGTTCCTAAACCAGTCAGAATGTTAAGAACACCAGGTGGCAGACCCACTTCACGGCAAATATCAGCGAGCTCCAAACATGTCCTGAAGTAAAACCACATCAGATTCGCGAGTTCTAGAACTAATAGTTGAAAATGATTAGCTATGGTGTCAATAAGAATCAAATACGCACACGGAGGCCAACTCTGAAGGTTTCAGTATTGCTGTGCACCCAGCAGCAAGTGAAGGAGCGACTTTCCAGACAGCCATCAGTAATGGATAATTCCTTCAATGCAAATATATAGATTATTAGCTACCTAATACGTGGTGGCGTTTCTAACATACTGTACAAAAAGGAAGAACGAACACTTGAAGATCAACGTGATCTAGATATGTAAAAGAAAAATATCTCCAAATGTCAACTTAATCCGCTAATTTGACAAAGGGTAATATATGCAATGATTTTAGGGACTAGGTTTGATTCAAATCTATCACCATAAGACTAGTGTTTAGTAACATTATCAACAAAATATACCAGGGAGTAATCAGCCCAACAACACCAATGGGTTCTTTGAGAATATAACCCTTAAAAGTATCTAACGGAAGAGAAAGAGGAGCCTTCTGCTTCGCATCTAAGCCTTCGGCAAGGTCAGCATAATATTCAAAACATCCAGCAACATCATCCTGCAAAGGTTACAAAGAAACCATGTATGACATTTTGAATCCACCAAGATTGCCAAAATTTTCACAAACGGAGGAAAACGAGAATACCATGTCCCATGCTGCTTCATCTAGAGGTTTACCGCAATCAATAGCCTCAAGGTTAGCTAGCTCAGACTTCCTCTCTGTTACCTAAATATGAATGTACATATGAAAACATAAACAATTACACTATGTGTTATGCCAAAGTGAGATTCTATACTATGAATTCCTTATCAGATGATACAGCTAACACAGAAACATAGCTTTCGTAAACTCACCTTAGCAGCAATAGCACGTAAGTATCTGGCACGAACAGCCCCGGATGCTCTAGACCAATCCTTTCCTTTGTTCCTAGTAAGTGCTTTCCTAGCTGCTTCCACCGCGAGCTCCACATCTTCAGAAGTTGCAGCTGGTATATAACCTAAACCACCACCAAATCCCAGTTCAATAATAAGCAACTTAAAACACTACAAAGAACTACAAGATCCAATTTCAACTACATATCCTTCTCCTATATAACCTCACAGATCTAAACGTAACACACAGGGAAACAAAATTCCGATCATCCCAAGCAGACGAAGTTCAAAGCTATCTTAATCTGCTCATAAGCATACAGTGAATCGAAACTCGCGAAAAAATTGATCGATCCAGTTACAAATAAGATTTGACGGAAAAGAAAAACAACCGATGATGTCTTCGGTAGCGGGATTGACAACAGGGAGTGTTTTCCGGCGAACGGGCTCTGTCCATTGACCGCCGATAAAGAGTTGCCGTCTCGGCACCGTCGTAGTCGCCATACTCTGCTACTAGAGAGGTTCGTTAAGCAGTAAATGTAAATCGATCGTTGGACTTTCTTTTTTCTTTTGTCAATATCTCACAGATCTTCTTATAGTTTTTTTATATTATCCCTTAATATTCAATCTTGTAATTAAAGCTTGTAATTGTATTTTTCTGAAATAAATTATTATAATTTAGCATTTACATATCAAGGAGGTGTATTACTTCAATCTTCACAAACAGAACATAAAGATCACAAGAATCCAAAAAAAAAAAAAAAAAACAATATCGAATACAAAAATTAAACCATGGACAAATATGCGAAATCGAAAGAAGAAAAGAGATTGAATCAATTCTTGGTGGTGGTTTTGTTATACTTGTCTTTGACCCAATTAAAGCCCAACGAGGTTCCTATCTTCACTTTCTTCAACCCCGAACTCGCCGCCGCTTTCGTCTTCCCCAATCCAGCCTCCACCTTCTCTTTGTATTTAGTCGACGCGCCGCCGCCGCCGCCGCCTTCTTTTCCTCCGTCGGTCGTTTTCCCCGACGATTGATTGCTGTCCCACTGATCGGCCCACGAATTTCGCTCCATATTGTATGACAGTATGAGACGAGACGCGAGAGAGAGAGAGAGAGAGAAAGATTTGATTAGGTGAGAAAATGTATTAAATTGTGATTAATATAAAAAAGTCACGCGTTTTATAGGATTTGGTGGGTTAGATTAAAGAGGATTACTTCTTCGCATATCTTTAAAGTTTTAATTAGTTGACAAAACTTCAGATTTTGATTGACGTTTCATTAATCGGTGATGTGAATTAATTATATACATTTGTTGAACTGAAAATTTGTTATGCAGTACATTCTAGATTGTGTGTATGTACATTATACGAATTAGTCCAATAAATACATTATGTATTTCGGTAATGCAATTTCATCTACATGTCACTAATTGTGGGCCTCTTCTAGCATCCCATATCTGGCTGGTTTAGGTCGATAAATTTGGGCTTATCACTAAAATAGGCTTCCATATTTTTACCGAAACTAACCGAAGTAAGATACGGTTCGGTTCTCGAGTAGTTTGGGTTTTGAATTTATTCTTTGTAAATCGTGGATACTGGATAGTGTAATGTATTATTCTTGTGATGTTTCGGTGTTTCCATTCTAGTATGATAATGAGCTACTAAACATAATCTTAATGTTCCTACTCATTGAGCTCGCGGATGAATACAGTCTAGTTAGGATTAACATATATTATTATTTTGACTCGCAGAGGTAAGCTTTGTTTAAACAAGGGAGGATTGCTATAAGGATCCTAAAAAAGCTGGTAATTATATTATTATTTTGACTCGCAGAGGTAAGCTTTGTTTAAACAAGGGAGGATTGCTATAAGGATTCTAAAAAAGCTGGTAATTAGGAGAACAAACTTACAATCTCGAAATTAGTAGAACAATTTCGCTTTTTAAAAACCTCGATTTTATCCTTTGGACGCTTTGATGACAAAAACGCATTTACGAGAATGCTATTATTATTTAATTTCCACGTCAGCAGTTAAAATAACGCGCTAAGAAATAAGTTTACCATCGTGAATAATAGAGATTTTTATGTTGATAGACTTAAACGTGTATAGATAGATATATTATCAGTTGATAGATTTGTGTAAATGTTGATAGATTTGTAAAAAGTTGATAGACTTTTTGTTGGTAGACTTATTCTTAACGTGAAAATAGATTTGTTTTTGTTGGTAGATATATTATTTTGTTGATAGATTTATTGTCAAGTAAGGTAGATTTATTTCGATTTGGTAGATATGATGATGGAAAGTTGACTTTGGTTTACGAAATTGATAGACTTATTTACCTGTTGAAGTAGATTTGTTTTCTAAAAAATAGACTTATTTACTAAGAATATAAATATACTACTAGAGATTTTGATTCATAATGATAAATTTAATTATGTCTTTGGTAGATTTATAAACGCGTGATAGATTTGTTCTGTTGAAATAGATTTGTTTTCTGAGTGATAGACTTATAATTACATCAATTTTGTTTTCTGAGTGATAGATATATTAGACTATGTAATAGAGATATTTGGTGGTGGTAGATTTATTTGTCATTTTAAGGTAATGTAGTAGATTTATTGTTCATTTTGGAGCACCGATGTTGATAAAGTTTTGTGAAAATTGGTAGACTTTTTAAGAATTGGTAGACTTATACAAATTGATAGAGTTATTTTTCTGCACTTGAAGGTAGACTTATTTATACGAAATTACGTATTTGTCCAGTAGTTATTACCGAATTTTCTACATTCAACTACCGCATTAACTACATCTAGGGTAGCCGCCCTTAAGTGTCGTCGATGATTTTCCATGTATCAGATGCTCTCTTGATGTTGTATTTATTTCTTCTAATATGTCTTATTCATGCATGGTGGATTTTCGACAAACTGTTTATGAGGATTTAGGATTGGATCAGTGGCGTTATGAGATTCAATTTAGTTATATGCTTTCGAAAAGATCTAATCACTGGCTATCCAAACATATCTGGAAGACATGTTTTCTTGGAGTGATAGATTTTTTTAATTTTCACTTATGTATAGTTTTTGTATTCAGGAAAAAGGTGAAGGTGCTAAGTAACTAGCAGTGCAAGTGATTGACGACCATCTGGCACAGGTTACCGGTGTCTCATCCTTATATGTAGTCAATTTGGCAAGACAAACGTGTACATGCCCACGTTTTGACATTGATAAAATACCGTGCGTCCATGCCGTTACAGCAACTGAAGCTAAAAAACTTTCGATCAATCGTGTAATTTGTATGTTTGTTGTTGTTTGAAATCTTTTACATTATAAATCATCATATGAACACATTAATAAAAGTGTAATCAGAGTAGTCATAAATACCATGCATAACTAAACAACAAGTTTACCATACATAAGAACAAGTGTACCATACATAAGAAGATAAGAAGTCCACTTAAAAGAATAAAAAGTCTATCATGATACAAATAGTTATCAGTTCATCTCTCTACTGAAGAGATATGAAATGGCAGCAAACACAGTCAAAGTTTGGAGTCCTGAAAGCATTTGCAGCTTCTCGTTATGCTTGTCAAAGTTTCTCTTCACGCGGTTGAATTCCTCCGTAATAGCATCATCCCACCATTTCCACATATGTGATCCAGTCCCCTAAAAATCATTTCAGTTCCTTCAGATGAACGATCACTGTAACTTATCGGCATTGTCCCTGTCCACCGGAAAGATATAAGGTAAGTATTTTAACAACAACTCTACCACATAACTAACTACTCTACCTAATATGGCTAGAAGTCTATCATAAATAATATAAGCCTATCATAAATAATATAAGTCTATCACATGTAAAATAAATCTATCATAAATAATATAAGCCTATCATAAATAATATAAGTCTATCACATGTAAAATAAGTCTATCTAATACGACGAAACAATTAACAACGGAAAATAAATCTCGCCGATAGTACATGCCAGAGTAGTTACACACGACACGGTTGTTGGTTTAGCAAGTCGAAAAACATATAGCACTATAATTTACAGAGTGTACAAGAAACCCTAATAATCGAGAGGAGAGAAAAGACGAACTGACCGGATGAGTGAGGAGGAGTCGACGGAGCGGAAGAGGAGTTTAGCAACGTCGAGAAAACGAATCGACGAACTACAAATGAGAAGACGTACTTGCCGGTTTTATCGTTAACGCAAATTCTCGACGAAAGTTGTTTCAGCAAAGGGAGACAATATCGGGGAAGTCGTATATAAAGTTATTATACAACTCTATCATACGTAAAGAAAATAAGTCTACCATATAGTTCTTTCTACTAATTCATCGAACATATCTATAATAACAAATCTACTAGACATAAGTAATAACTCTACCATAAGCGACAAATAAATCTATTACAAAACATATGTTAATCTACCACATATAAGTATAATTTTTGTTACAAAATTTATTAATCTCACCGGAAAACTCTTCGACGCGTCAGTTCTGAAATCCTTCGACGAAACCACCACCGAACGACTGCTTGCTGCAACACACACACAAAAATTAGGGTTAGACAACTTCTCTTTGCTCTTCTCGGGTGGTCGTCGACAGATCCACACAGGTGAAGAAACGCGATTTTTAAAACGAAACAAAAACTTTGCAAATTTCTGCAAAAAGAACCAAAGATATGCTTACCAGAGACGCAGAACACGCCGATAAGAAGGACGGAAGAAGCACAGAAGAACCAGACCGCCGGAAAAGACATAGAAGGTTCGGTTTCGACCTCACAGAAATCGCCGTCGCCGTCGTTTTTTAGGGTTTTCATTTTTTTTGCGAGAACACAATAAATTTATTTTGATTGATATATTAAATTTCAGAATTTCGAAAAGTTATTAAAATAATAATAACGATTTTCTGTTTTTAAAATGATTTACGAAAATATAATAAAAATTAAAATAAATAAAAATAGTTTTTTTAAATATCAGGGGCTACACAGTCTTTTCTCTCCTGGTAGGGTTAGTATAGCAAGAATATAAGAGTAAGACATCAATCTAGCAAACTGACCTGTTTGTGAGATCATTCTAGTGTTTATTCTCTTTAAACAATTTTATATGTCGAAAGAAGAGAGAAAGCTGCATAATATTTAAATATAAAATATTTTTTATTATTTATTACCAAAATAAAGAAATTCACATTCTTTGATACTTTTGCAAAATGAAAAGATTCACTTTTCAATTTTGAGATTTTTTTTTATATTGATTGATAATTCACGGCGAGACATGTCAAAATGGTATAGACATTTTACAACTTTCAGTCCTTATTGTTACCAAAAAAACTTTCAGTCCTTATTTTAAGGTACCCGTACTATATAGACATAATCAATAACCACTCGTTTTTATCCTCCAAACTCCCAATGCTCATATAATACCTTATTTTAATCGTCGAAATTTGATTATATTAAAACCAAATTACGAAGTGCTTACTTGATGAATTGATGGTCTAAAGACTCTAAACGGATGCAGCAAACATCTAAACATAATTTTTTCCGTATGTTTATGCTTGCTATAATGCTATGTATTTTTAAAACTTAGAAACTTTATAAGATTATTCAGGTTGAAATTGAATACGCAAACATTTGTGTGTGAAACAACTATAGTCTGACGGAAAAAAAAACAACTATAGTCTAATTATTAATTGGAGCATCACAGTAGTTATATATAGGGATATATACTGGAGTAGAGACTAGAGATAAAAAAAAAAAAAAAACGACGATGACAAATTAGACTATTAGAGGTGAGCAATAAATGCTGTCTCGAGAAAAATCTTGATGTTGCTTATATGAACATGTCCATTAATATTGAACGACAAAACTATATGTATGCATTTATGTACGTACATTCATTCGTCAGTCGTCACACTAGCCATCATAACTTTCTTTGACCGTACCAAAGCGACACAATCATTTGTATATAAGGAATGATCTACCAACCATTTAGATCTATATGCAAACGCATTAACATATGACATGAACAAGTTCATGTTCTAAACTTCTTGAAACATGATCCACCATGTTGTGTTTAAAAGCATCATTATTCATTAATTATGACACCCACACGAACAAAATCAGCATATATATACCATGAATGATGAATCGTTGTTATATATGTATTCGTATATTATAGTATAGCTAGGTATAATAGAGTATATAACCTTGTGTTAGGTTTCATCAATCCAATCAATTAATTACATGGGAATATTATCCAAAATGCAAACAACCATCAAATATCGGATTTAATTTCTTTAGTAGAGTTTGAAAGAAGAACAAGGTGATACATATAGATTCATAAATCGTAATAAGTCAAACGAAAACACCGATAAAAAAAAACAGAAATCCAGAAGAAAAAGAGAGAAGCAAAGAGAAGAACAAAAGGTAGTCAAAAGTAAAAGAAACACAAAAAGAGAAGAGAGAGGTAGCAAAGACACACTTGATTTGATGATTTTCGAGATGAAGATCGCTTTGAAGCAGCGAAGGATCGGACCGAGACGCTTGATTCCCCTTTTGGATCTCGTACGCACACGTGGATGATGTTACAAACATATGATGATGATGACGATCAAGAATCGATCTACATGAAAAAGTAGAGAGAGACGAGGTAAACCCTAATCTTAAAATCTCGATGATGATGATGATAATCAACAACTACTTCTTCCTTTTCTTGGGATTCTTGATCTTGGGTGTGTATGATTATGTCCTCTTCTTGGGTATTGGGACTTGGGAGGTGAAGAGAAAGAAGAAGGAGAAGAAGACGACGAAGATGAAGATGATGAATCATCATCATCACTATCATCATGATGTGGGGAATTAAAGTGGAAGTAGAGAGAGAGAGGGAAGTGAGGTTGTAATGATGATGAGGGATGAATAGAAGTCAGAGCTAGGGGAGAAAAATTATCATTACTACTTTGAACCAAATGTTTTATAGCTTCTCTTTTTTTCTTGGGCTTCCGAGAAATATCTTAACCCTATCTTATGCCCTTGAGCCTTTCTCTCTCTCATTCTCTCTAGAGTTATGAGGAGACAGATAAAATTGCCATTGTGACAACACTTAGGGGTAAAACTTTTTTCAATTGCCTATCTAATATCTAATATGTTCTATAAGGAAAAAGTAAAAGAAACATGCTATCTATTTTTTTTTTTAACAATATCTCTAAGTTAACCTTTTTTTTTGTGTGTAGGACTAGGACCTGTTCTTATTTTTTAAATTTTGATAAATATAACATGTAAAGCAATTGATTTATTGATTCTAACCATTTACATAATTTATTAGGGAATACTATCTCATAAAGGATATTGGAAAATATCTTAAGTAAAGATGTAAATAATATATTAGACTCAAAATTGATCCTAATTAAAATATACTAGATTTATAATCCGCGCGTTGCGCAGAATTTCAATTTTTAAACAACTAATTTATCATATTTATCTTTTTATTTTTTTGGATTTTATTAGACTATTTCTCTATTTTCATATTATCGTAGATTGCTATTTTCATTTTCGGTCTTCTTTATCATCTTCAACATTTTTGTCTTCATATTTTCTGAAATTCTTCTTCATCAGTTTTGTGTTATTCTTTGTCTTCTTCTTTATCTTTCTTTTTCTTCTTCATCTTCATCTTCTTCAACCTCTATTTCTTTTTTTTTTCCTTTTTTCCAGCTTTTTTCATATTATTTTCTGATTTTGTTTCGTTTCTTATTTTTACTTATTTCGTATATCTCTTTTTTTTCTTCTATTTCATCTTCATCTACGTGTTTTTTTTTATTAATTTTTTTTTCTTCCTCCTATTTTTCTTATTCTTTTTCCTCATTTTTCATTTTTATTTTTATCATCATCGTTTTCTTAACTACTTCTTTTTATTATTTATTTTCTAGCTTTTATTCCTCTTCTTCTGGATAAAAAAAATGATTATAAACAATGCATAAATTAATTAAGTCATTAACTTTAATATTAGTGTTTTTTATTTTAAAATAAAATTAATACTACTTTAAAGTGTGTGAATTAATTGAATCATTAATTTTAATTTTTTTCTATGCTGATGTGGACACTTTAGATGGAGAGAAAACTCTTCTATTATATAATAGATTTACAGTTCTCTATTTTTTATTGATGTTATGGATCTTTACATTTTCCAGTTGTGGAGTGACAAAAATCCTTCGGCCTCCAATATCTCATAAAGGATGTTGGAAAAAAGATCTCTAAGTAAGATGTAAATGTTTATGTTCTCTAATCTCTATATTCAAGCTTCTGGCAAATGAAATCTATGCGTACTTATCGTTTGGTTTCAATATCAAACAGATGCATAGTTTGGTAGTTTTAATCTTATCCAAAATCTTCACACAACTCAACACATTTTGTTTTCCTTCCATATTAGTGTTCCCTTTTTTGAAGTAATTGATACTTGTTCATATTACTCCAGTCACCAATGTATATTATTTTAAGTTCATTCAAATAATAAAGTAACGAAAAAAAAAGTTGAAGGATGGATCAAACTTTATGATCGATCGGGCTTACTCTAAAAGCACATGGATATCCTTTCCTGCTTTCCATATGCAAAACATTATGTCGAATGTCCATTACCCAACTTTTTCAGTTCTTTTTTTTCTTACTTTCAATTGATTAATATCCACAATATTCTATGCTAAAAGTTTGTTTCCAGCAAACTTGACATGTATGCAAACACCAAACTGGTATGCAAACAGAATTTGAAATTGTGTAGATGCATGAATCTACAATCAAAAGTTTATATTTTAAAGGTCGAGTTTCGTCTGTAACAAATAATAATTCGAATGCAAGATGATAATGAAACAAACAAAAATCAACACAAATACAAAAAACGAAAAAACACAAAGTGAATTAAGTTTAGAAATGGTAAACACAAAGTGAAATGTGTTAGCGTAAATAATAGCTTGTAAATACATTTTTTTTTTACCTTTTTTTTCTTTTTCATCCCTTTTTTCCCGTCGTTAATCCCATCAACATGCCTGACTTTCTATTCTAGCAATTCTTTGAAAGCTTTAGTTTTAATTATGTTAATGGACTGCTTCATTCGGTCCATCTCCTGAAGTTTGCGGGAGATAAGTTTTACTCCCAAAAACTCCTTTATACACTAATCATATAAAAAGTTGCAGTTCGCTCAGTACTACCATTTTACTAATCCTACAAACCATATTTTCCTACTCTCACAATTTAGTTTTACTCTTCTTATCAATTACCGCAAGTAATTAATTTTGTCTTTCTGGTCAACCGAATTTTACTGACGAAAGGAAAAGGCTGTTTGTGACTGTATTTGGGGAGTAAATAGATTACTAAATTGTTAATAACATGAGCTTTATTGGGTTTAGTTAAAGAAGGAGAATTTTGGCAGTCCATGTCTTGTATATAATAACTTTTCTATATTTATATACTAATAATATTAAAATTTAAAGTGATGACAGTCAGAGGACAATAAAAAAGTAAAGACAGAGGAATCAAAATCATGAAACTCAGGAAAGGCAGTGCCTTGAAACCAGAGAGAGGGAATGAGGGTTTTTTTCCCTGTAAAAGGCAGCCTCAAATGCAATTATCTTTCTGCCATGCTTTAAAACATATAGTAATATTATTCATAGAAAAAACCATTTTTAGATGTCTTTAAAAAGCTTAAATTATAAAGCTATGAGGTTTCTTAAAATTCGGAATTTCTCCCTCAAAAGTGCTAAAATGTCAGCGTTCTTATTAGACAAGGTATAAGATTATTCTATATATATAGTTAATTAAATATTAATATGATATGAAATAGAAATTTACTTATAGCATAACAAGAGTAAAATTTTAGACACATTTTCATCATTCGGTAGTAAATTTTGACTATATCGTAGCTAGAAATCTATACTTGAAAACAATATTATAAAAGAAAACAATTTCAGCAATCTATATCATACAAGGCTACAACTCCATATCATGGTATCATACTATTGTCGAATAATAGAGATTAGAGTAGAGTCTCAAGGAAAGAACGAAAAGGAAAAGTAAAAGTTGATCGGTTAACCTGTACTAACAGGTCTATGTGAGATAAAATAAACTAAATCATATATATATGTGAGATTTTAGAATGCAAAATAAGTTTAGATAATAAGATTATGGTTTGCTTTTTTTCAAAAAAATGATAATAGATCATGGGTGTTTTTCTATCAAATGTTAAAACATATTTTTTTAAAAAAATTGGGTTTCAGACCCAGGGCAGTCGCCCCACACGCCATGGCTTAGAGCCGGGACTGGTCACTGAAGTACTGAACCATTATTAACCTTAGCCCTCAAAATTGTTTAATATATATATATTTGAGATTTTCTTGATTTCTTCTCTCATAGAGACAATTGTCATGGGCTAGAAGGAATTGTCACTCTAGTGGGCTTAGCACAGAGATAATCGATCGTAAAAGCAATACCTAAAGATTCAATGACGCAAGTCACGCCCCAACTCATAATGGCCCAAATATTTTCATGCTTGGTCATTTTGTGCCAAGAAAGTGTAATATGCATGTACAAGTTACCTCAATGAGTATATCTTGAAGTGGCAATTACAATTTTAAAATATGTTCCATTTTCGTAAACAGCTCTATTAATTTCAAGTTATATGTGTTCAATTCCCGAATAAAATTTGGTTTATTAGAAAAAATATACTCAATTTCTCAACCCCTCGGTTCATGATATATATGTTTGTTCTGGCTATAGGTTGCCACAAGTATCTTCTTTAGTAGAACAAAATTTGAAGATCCCCACGAAATGTTACCAGCTAGGCATTTAATGACTTCAACGGGTGGTGACACAGAACAAACCAATCTTAAATGAAATGAATGGAACAGTAGTAAATAAAATAGATATAAGAGGAGGAATATGAGAACAAAATGAATAGAATAAACCAGTTGAGTAAATAATTCATCAACTTACTTTGAATAGAATAGACGGTATACTATGTTTTTCTTCTGGTTCAAAACCAATTTTTTTTTCATTTCTCTAGTTCCAAATTTTTCAATTTTGTGGTTTCGCTCTGACTTGAATGACTGAAGTTTCAAAAAAAAACATTCATCCTCTGTTGTCATTTCGAGAGTATTATGACAGTGTTAGTGGTGTAGATATCATGAGTCTATTTAAAATGAGTCACTCTTGTACAAGCTTCAGCAAATGACAGTTTCATGAGGCCTATCTCAAATGATTTACCTTAGGAATATCTGAACATATTCTCTTATCCTACAAGCAATAGACTTGTTTTTCTTCATAAGAATCACTCTTCTGTATAGTTTTGATTACTAACTAATCGGAGGTTCCTTGAAAACATCCTTATTACGAACCAACAGTTTTAAAAAGAACAAAATTTTCTTCCTAACAACTTTATTTTATTGAAATTTGATTGATCAGTTTTATTGTACGTATGCTATAGCGTATTGAAAAAAAACGGATTGTGTAATTCATTCTTTTTATGCTGATTTATATATGCATTCTTCAACAATTTAATATTCAATAATTCCCCTTTTCATTTTACTCAATTTTTTTCCTTTTTTTATTCTATTGTTTTTTTTTTGGTTTTTTTTGGACAAACATACTTATATTGATCTTAAAACGCGGTTACAACCAAAAGAAGTCGGAAACTCGTCGCCAAAGAGTCCGACCTTGAAGCATAATTGAAATACAATGCATAAGAAATATAGGATAAGAGGTTACAATCATAGATAATAACCCAAAACTCTATTGAAAGGGCTAGTTTTTCAGCCAAAGACAAACGAACAAAACTTTTAACTCGTGATGCCTTCAAAGCTTAGCGTTTAAAGATGTTCTTCATAAAGAAGACGATTGGTGGAAATGTTCTCTCCAATAAGAGGGAAAGTGATGAAAATAGTTTCTCTGAGAGAAAGTATGGTGATAATGTTCTCTCCATAAAGGAAAAAGATAGTGATAATGATCTCTCTACAACTGAGGAATTTGAGAGTCAAGACTGACCTAAAACGGGAAAAACCACGATAGTATCGACATCTGGTCTAGGAGATTTGACATTGGGCTTGAAATTAGTTGGGCTGAGATGGTGGCGGGTGAATCTTATTGGGCTAATTAGGCCCATAAGGCGTCCAATCAGATTTTGGCCCATCTCAGAGAAGGCGTGAGGATGGTGTGCCGTATAAGTGTTCTCTAGTCCAAACCAAAATTGAGCTGGTCAATTTACCTCTTTCTTTCCAAAGCATAAATCTGCAAATCAAATCAGCAATGTATAATGAAAGATAACATTCAATCAACTTTTTGGACCACAAAAGGTAATATACAATAAACTTTTTACCATAAATCATGAATTAACTTTTATTTACAATTAAAATTTAAGATTGATATCTATTGAGTGCGCTGCTGAAAAGCCATGTTACGCGAAAAAGTTGGCTGAAAAGCCATGAGTATAAAAATTAATTTATTTTTGAATTAATTTTATTAACTTAAATCCTGGAAATTATACCCTTTTCCTTATATGTCTACATAATCACGAAAATACCAGGATAAAACCCACCCATTTTAAGCCCACCCAGTAACCCGTAAAAAATGCAATTTCTTTCCAAAGAAAATAAAACTTAATGAATTAGAAATGGAAAATAGAAAATTTTAATTGTTAAACCGAAAATTGGGTAAACGAAACTGAACAGAGTGGATTTGATTCTCAAAACCAAACACAGCTGATAAACTTGAAACCGAAAATCAAATCTCGATTTCTCCTCTTTCTCTCTTCATCTTCTCCGAACGGCTATCTCCACTTCCCTCACACTTTCGAAAATTCTGCAACTTCCCCCTTAAAACGACACTAGATTTTGTAACTTCTCCTTCTTCAACTTCTCCTTCTTCAACTTCCCATTCTTCAACTTCCGGTACTATTTATTCATTAATTTATCATTCTACATACATCAAGACAAACCCTAACTCCATGGCTAAAATTCGACTAAAGAGCGTGGTATATGATTCGAATGATTCAGTACCCAAGCGCAGCGAAGAAACACATATGGAAGATAAAGACCCCAGAATAACACCAAACCCTCCGGCGAATGATGAAGAAACAACCCATGAAGAAACTCAGAGAGAAGAATAATTATTGATGGAAGCAGACCCAGCCGGTACCAAAACCACCAAAGAAGCCCCTGAAACCGCACCAACACCCACGGACGAGGGTGCGACGGATCAATCAGAGGAGCGGTTGAAATCTCGTGAAGAACCTGAGAAAGAAGGTTTAGCGGATACAGTAGCCGAGGAAGAGGGTGTGGTAGAATCCCAGAAAGAAGACGAGGGAGATGTATTTGTTGATGAGGCTTCAGAAAGAGAAGGCGAGGAAGAGAAATCAGAGAAAGAAGCCGAAGAAGAGGAATCCGAGAAGGAAACAAGAGAAGAGGAAGTCGATGATGAACAATCCAAGAAAGATAGTGGAGAAGAGGAATCCGAGAAAGAAGCAGACGAAGAGGGAGGGGGGACACCCGAGAAAGACGACGAAGGAGAAGGAGAGGAAGGAAATGAAGAGGAAGAAAATGCAGCGGAAGAAGAGGATGTCGAAGAGGCAGATGAAGATTTAGAGGTAAGTATACTTTCCACGAAATTATGTTTGGTCGTTGGACAACTAGGACAACTAGGATAACTATTTGCACGAAATTATGTTTGGCATTTGGACAACTAAGACAACTAGGATTATTGTGTTTGATGAAATTACGTTTGGCATTTGGACAACTGGGACAACTGGGATAACTGTGTTTAATGAAATTATGTTTGGTCGTTGGACAACTAGAACAACTAGGATAACTATTTGCACGAAATTATGTTTGGCATTTGGACAACTGGGACAACTAGGATTACTGTGTTTGATGAAATTATGTTTGGTCGTTGGACAGCTGGGATAACTGTGTTGGATGAATGTTTGTTTTGGTCAAATGTTGGACAACTGGGACAATCGGTACAACTTAGTTTAACAGAATTAGATAACACGCGGACAATTGGGACAACTAAATCTGATATGATTGTGTTTGTTGTTTATATTTCAGGATGCCGATGATGGTAGTCAACTGATGGTGCCTGAGAAGCTTTACTTCAGTCCAACCGAGTACATGAAGAGTTGCAGGATATTGACAAGGTGCTCAGTTAGAGCTGTTGTGGACAAGATTGATAAGCTTGATGAGGAGAAAGCATGGTTTAGAGCACATCCTCAATTTAAGCACATTTTTCACATGTTCAAGAAGTCCAACCACATGAATCAAAGATTGTGGATGCTTCTCCTTCACACTGCTCATACTGAAAGGTTTAGTGAGTGCTGGTTTGTTGTTAACGGAGTTCCAATAAGGTATTCTCTGGGAGAGCATGCGCTTTTGAGTTGACTTGATTGTCGTGATTACCCGACTGACTTCAACAATTTGGGAAACACAAAGTTTGTTGAAAAGCACTTTGGTAGGGCGGATAAAATCAATCAGTTATCCCAATTGTTCCAGTTGTCCCAATACATTAAGGGTCCCAATTGTCCCAGTTGTCCTATTCCATTCGGTTAACCCAATTCAACTCAGTTATCCCAATTGTACCAGTTGTCCCATTTCTTTCAGTTATACCAATTGTACCTAGTTGTCCCACCTTATTCAGTTATCCCAATTGTACCAGGTGTCCCATTCCATTCAGTTAACCCAATTGTACCAGTTGTCCCATTCCATTCAGTTATCCCAATTGTACCAGTTGTCCCATTCCATTCAATTAACCCAATTGTACCAGTTGTCCCATATCTCACTGATTCACTATACATACATACGATTCAGCTCGATTCAATGGCAACAAGTTAAATTTTAACACACAGAAGACTAAATTGACATATATACGCCACTCTACTATCCAATGTGTAACCTAAAACGACCGGAATTGACAAATCGATTACTAAACCCTAATCCCCAAAATGTAGAAGAAGTTTACCTAACTGCGAAATGACGGCAGAGAAATGAGATTTGGCGAACAACACAGGTTCAGAGAAGGTCGGCGCACCGCACCGAGCAAAAATAAACGCAGACAGAATTCCGATTCGAGCACATATATCGGTCGATTTCTGGGGAGATTTTCGATTTTGGTCGGTTCTTTCGGTTCAAGAGCTACCCATATATTGAGAGAAACCAGAAATTAATCGGTTTTGGTTTTAAAATCTTAGGTTTTCAATTTTCATTTTAATCGATTTTTCAAAAACAAAAAATTAAAACATAAGATAATCACCAATGCCATAAACACTTTTCATTAAGGGTATATTTGGAATGTCACATGCCTTATTGTACACCACCTCAAATGTGTAGAGATGTCAAACGGGTTAACCCGCGTCCAAATAGCCCAATCTGATGCGGGTTTAATTTTTTTTGGGTCTGGCGGACTGGCCCATCATAAGCTGCGGTCCCAAATTGATGTGTCCAAGCCCGACCCGCCTATGTTCTGCGGTTTTACGGGCTGGTCCGCGGGTTCATACTTTTTTCTTCATCTTAAAGTTCTTATGACATTTAGATTTATAGTACCAGAAAATCTACAAGAGGAGAATAAAATTTTACTCGTAACTGAATCACAATATGCATAAGAAACAAAACTAAAGAAAATTCTTGTGTAAGTAAATTCGATGAATAAACAAATGAATTCGATAAACCTCTTATACAAAACTCCTAACCCTATGATACCATAAGATTTGAAAAATCAATTTAACGGTAAAAATAGACACTTAGTTTTGAAAAGCAAATAAATGAATTACAAATAATGATACAAATAAAAACTGGTAATTTAAGCTAAATAACCATCAAGATACAAGCAACAAGACATTCACATATATAAAAAAAAAAGATGAAAAAAGCTTATTTGTTAGTTCAGCGTACAAACAATGTGATTTTCAAGCAAAACTATTTATTGTCAATTCAAGATTTAAGCGATTCTAAATTACTTTTGTATTGCTGCGGACAAAATAAAAACCACGTCCGTGATATAGTCGATGAGCAAAACCAACAAAAAAAAAACTTATGACATTAAACTGAAATTAAAACTTAAAAAAAATACTAGTTTTTAGCCGGAAAGACAATGACCAGATTTTCTTCTAAATTCAAAAATCCAATCACAGAATCTGAATCGAATCGAATATAAAACACATACTAGTTTGATGATTCCTTGATCGCATTGATATGAAGATAAAATACTTCACTTTTCGAAGTTTACAAGAAAACATCAAATTTTACGGGTTGGCACGCAAACCCGCGGATCCGCTTTGACCCGACCCGTAAAAGCTCAACTTCCACGCAGGTTTGGACCGCAAAACCCGCATTTTATTTGGACAAAATTTATGGAATCTAAGCCCGTACCGCTGCGGTTTTACTTGGGCCGAATCCGCGGATCAGAACCCAATTTAACACCTCTACAAATGTGGCAGATTTTTTTTTTTCTCATTTATGGCTTTTCAGCCTTTAAACCATATCTATTTAGTAAATTTCTATATAATTGCTTTTCTCAAATTAATACATTTTAATTAATTTTATTTATTTATTTACATTAAATGATTTACTCAAATTAGAAATACAATATTTTTATTACTCCATTGACAACTAACTATTTTCATTTTCAGTAGACTTTTTAGTGCTTTCTCTCTCCTTTTTGTTTAGTTTGAAAGTTCAAAACTCGAAATAAATTGATGAAAGTAACAGAAAAACAAATTGCGTCTTAAATGAAGGAGAATCGAATCCAGAGCCTGAGGAAGCCTCGTGTTTATCGGTGAGACTTTTTCGGTTTGCTGTTACTGTTTGCACGATTTTGGTATTAATTTCCGGTTCACGTCGTGTATTCTCTGACTCGGTCCTATGAGAGAGATGAACAATAGTAGTAATACGTAGAAAAAAATCTGACCGACGACGACGAAGACGAAGACCGTACAGTACTTTGTACACTTTTCTCTTTCTCTCTCACGCTCACTTCTCACTTCTCACTCACACACAATTTCTGTTGCGCTTCTATAGGAATCACATTGCTTGACCTGTGAGAGAAAAAAACATTTATCCCAAGAAAACTAAAGGAAGTCCGGATTTTTCTCTGTTTCTCCTCGCAGGTAACTTCTGTTGTATCATATTGTCTTAAGCTAAATTAATTCTGTAGATAAAGTTTGATTTTTTTTGGGGGTTTCAACTTGTTATTTTGATCAAGGGTTTCTTTTTCCTGATTCGATTTTTGTTTTTACCTCGAAAAATTTGTCTAAATTTGGCGATTATTTCGTTGATGAAATGTGAGCAATATGGTGTCTTGATGCAGAAAGATGCGTTTTTTTTCTTTTTTTCTTTCTTTTTGGGTGCAAGGTTGAATGCAGCGATGAAATTACAAAACCCAGATAAGAAAACCCTAAGAGAATCTAATTTAGTGGCTTCAGATTCTCAAGTTCCGGTGACGGAGGTATCAATGGAAGAAAATGATGAGGGTTTATGCCAAGGTGGTGATAAAGTGAGGAAGATTGAAGTCTCTGGAGGAAATTTATCACTTGTTGTTGATTTTAGTGGCTCGAATTCTGACAATGGCTTTGAATCAAATGGGAGTTGCCCGAACGAGAATCTGGTGAAGGGAAATCAAACTCGGGAGTTTCTCGCTGGGAATCTTGTTTGGGCGATGATTAAACCCAAGAAATGGTGGCCAGGGGAAGTTGTTGGTTTCAAAGCTGATGCAAAGGAGAGCTTCAAGGTTAGATATCTTGGTGAAAGCGAGCTTGTTTCGTGGTGCGCACCTTCAAAGTTGAAGCCTTTCAAGGAGAGCTTTGAGGAAGTGGTGAATCAAAGAAACGACATGGGCTTTTTCGTTGCGGTAGAGAAAGCTATGACCTTGTTGAGCAACTCGTTGAAACTTGACATGACTTGTTCTTGCATTGCTGAAAAGAACGGAATCACGCTGGTTCCAAACGTGAAAACTCGCAAGACAAAGCCTTTGATACTGCGTGAGTTCGCTGTAGATCGGTTGGAACCAAAAGAGTTTGTCACTCAGCTGAATAATCTCGCGACATGTGTTTCGAATGCTGGGATGCTTGAGACGACAGTTATGCAGAGTAGGTTATCGGCTTTTTATTCTTTCTTTGGGCATAAGCAGATAGCAATGGATCAGCTACACCAAAACGAGGTTAGGAAAGTTTTCACTGCAGCTAAGATGAATGAGAGTCAGTTCGTTGGTTCTCCATCCATTGTTGCAGGTAGTAGCAGGAGGAGGTTTCGTAAAGAATGGTTTAGGAAATTTGTCAGTGAGGTTGACAATGTGTCTGCGAGAGACGATCTAGTAAACACGCCTCCTTCTGATTTGGTATCTAAACTCAAGCTGCTTGCTGTTGACTATAAGTGTTTAGAAGAGACCGAGAACATCGGTCTCTTTGAGTGGTTCTTCTCCAAATTCAGAATCTCCGTGTTTCGTGATGAGAATGCTTACAAGATGCAGTTGGGTAGTATGGCTGGTTTGAAGGATTTGATGGTAGCTAAGCAGAAACCTTCAAAGTCAAGTAAATCAGGGACTTCAAAGCTCGAGTCTTTCAGTGTTGTTTCAGTTGCTAATACTGAGCTGAAGACTGTTGAGTCGCAGAAATCAGAGAAGTCAAAGATCGAGCTTTTTTGTGGTCTTTCAGTTGCTAATACTGAGCTGAAGACTGTTGAGTCGCTGAAATCACAAAAGTCAAATCTCGAGACTCTTGATGTTGTTTCAACTCCAAGTAATGAGCAGAAGGCCTCCAAGCCTAAGAAATCAGAGCTGAAAAAGATCAAACATGGTCACTTAGATTTTTCTAATCCGGTCGCAAATGAGCCGTTTGCGAAAGATGTCCAAGGAAAATCATTGGTACGTTCTCCACACGGGAAAGCTTCTATGGCAGATACACGCAGCAAACCTGGTGCTACATTTATATTTGACTTAAACAGCGGAGGCAATGCTTTAGCTTCTACAGAATTTGACCATTTGCAAAGACCAAAGACTTCAACTCCGCTCAAAGTCCCCCCACAAGAGGAGAAGACACCAAGAACTATGATGCTGAACTTTCAGGTGGCAGCTCCATCTTCAACCTTTGGAATCTCAGGAACTGGGTTTGCTTCCAGCCAGCCAGCTTCGGAAAGATACTTCACGAGTGCAGATCTTTTCACTAATGTCACTAGTACAGGGAAGAAAAAGAGAGGAAGGAAGAGGAAGAATCCAGAAGAGATTCCAGTAGCTGCACAGGCCACTAGTGGTATACCTGACTTAAATGGAACAACTACAGAGCCAGCTTCGGTTCTGCCTCAAGTTGAGCCTACACAGCGCAGAAGATATCGGAAGAAAGAGGAGTCACCTAATGGATTAACCAGAGGAATCACAATCCTCTTCTTGAAATTTTCCTCCCGAGTGTCAATGCCTTCAAGGGACGACCTAACCTCGAGATTCTCTGCCTTTGGTCCCTTGGATTCATCTGAAACACACGTTTCAGAAGAATCTATTGGTGCGCAGGTCGCCTTTGTGAGTAGTGGCGACGCTGTAGAAGCAGTTAAAAGCTTAGAGAAAGCTAACCCATTTGGTGAGACCTTAGTGAGTTTCAGGTTACAGCAAAAACTGATAAGCGTTCAAAGGAACATAGCACCGCGAATGCCGGTAATCTCGCACGTTAGTCCAATACTGAAAATGAACAGTACACCGTTGACTGTGGATTCGATGAGGCAGAATCTGATGATGATGACATCAATGCTGGAGAAATCAGGGGATCGTGTATCAAGAGAGACCAAGGCAAAACTGAAAAGCGAGATCGCTGGTCTTCTGGAAAAGGTTAGTTCTATGCCTAGTAGCTCTTCTTCTTCCTGAACAATCCTTTGACATATATCAATGTGATCTTCTCAGACTTTCTAATGTACCATGTGTTGTAACTTTATGAACTCCATTCTTGTGTTTCCATCTTTCGGATGGTAGTTCTAGTATAAGATAGATATTAGAAGATGCTGGCAATATTATAAGAAAACTTTCAGCTTTTTTCAGATACAAGCTTGAAGCTCTTGTAATTAATAATCTCCACTCTTCAGGTTCAGGAGCAGTCCTTGCTTACTTGAATATCCTATAACATACAAAAGATAACACTTGCTAGTGTTCATACTCCATCTCTCTATGGATTTGATGATTGATGATGATTGATGATGATTGATTACATCTCTCTATGGATTTGAACCATAGTGTTTCATATCAAACACATGCTAGTGTTCATACTCCGTGATAGAAAGTAGATGTTTTTTCACATAGAACTACAAAAGTAGAAATGAACACCAAGAAGCATTACATCTCGAACACATGTGTATACAGTTATACACGACGAAATCTAAGTCCCCTAATGAAGTTTTTTCTCGGAAAATAAGTGAGGAAAGACCGAATAATATGTGAGACGGCAGAAAATGAAATCTTTAAGAGAGAAGAAAAGAGCTTGAACTATGGTGAAGAAGTAGTCAAGTAGAGGCGGAGAGCCGGCCAGAGACAGAGGAAGTAAACCAATTTGGAAATAAACCGGTTCAGCGCTTTATTAAACCAATCAACCGGGGAATTAGGTGGTTTGATTTGGGCATTAACCAATTACATTAATTTGATTGATTGGGGCCATAATTTGGTTCAATTGGCGGTATATGCACGAAAACGGGGACTCTAACGGTTCGATTGGGGCCAATTGATGTAATAATATATTTCTAACGGTTCGATTGGGGCAAATGCGCAAAATTTATAAAAACATAAGGGCTTATATGAAACATTTCTTAGTCGGTGAGTCCTCCACGGTCTCGTCAATAAACCCTGAACCTTTTTCCCCGGAAATTTAAAATCAGTTTCATCACTAAGATCGTTGTCTTCTCGGATTATGCTGTAGACGTCCCTTGTTCGATTTGACCATGGTTACTTCGAGGGATGTCCATGAGGTCGTCTCCAAGCTCTCGTCAGATAAAGCCAAAACTCGCGAAGTAAACTGTTCACTTACCCTTTTTATCGTTTGAGTTTCCTGGCAAAATCGGCAGAGATATTTAGAATTTTGTGAATCTCCATGTGCGTGTTTACTTTGTGAGTTGTCACGACGACGCTTTAGCGTTTCCTTTATTTTGGGTGGCTGAATGCCTTCTTCGGGCATGGGTTAAAATTGGGGTTTCATTCGTCTGGCTTTTGAGTGAAATGCAAGGAATTTGAATAAACTATAGCACCGTAAATTGCAATACAAACTCGGTTTCTATGTTAGTCTCTAGTGGGGTTTCGTTGAAAAATGTTTAGATACTTAATTTCGTGTTCTTCACCTGGTACTGTGTAACATCTGTGACAGGACAGTTAAATTGTGTTGAAGTTAGGCCTTGCTACAATATTGGATGCTTCTTTGATGCTTCTTGCTAATGGGATTTTGTTCACTTTCGTGATTGATCGTACTGCTGGTTCAAAAGGATTAAATTGCCTATTTCCTTCGAATCTGGCTGGTATTTAATGTCGGGGCAAAGAGTTTCTTACACTTGTATGACTTCCAAAAGTAATCCATGAAACAGAGAAGGAATTCCCGAGCATTGACTAGAAACTAAAAAAATTACGAACCATGTATTTATCCCTTAGTGATGTTATGCAATAATGATATTCCATTTCAAGGTTGCTCATGTTGATGAATTTTCTTACATAATGTATGTCCAGGATGGAGTCAAGTTATTGAATACGTGGCTTGAAGGCGAAAGATCAATTAACTTCTGTAGATTTCTTTCGCAAAACACGGCTAAGCTTAAGTTGGACGAGATTCCAAATGGTAGGTAGTGATTTTGCCACCGGAAAATCTGATGCTATTATACAATATATCAAGCTTTGAAGTTAATCAAGCACTTTACTTGTCATTGCAGCTGAAACGTGGCCCTTTTTGGTTAAAATTCTTCTTCAATGTGTATCAATGGAGGTGTCAGGTAGTAAGCGACGGGTGCCCAAGGCAACTTTTGCAAAGACGCTTCGAGTTGTTATTCAGAGAGCAGAAGAAACCAAGTTTCCTGGTGAGAAATATATTATTATTTTTTTGGTTAGTTATAAATATGGTAATATGCTTTTAAATGTTACCTATTATTACTTTGTGCTTACAAAGACGCTTGAAAATGTCATTCGAAGAGCAGAAGTATCAAGTCTCTTGGTCAAAACAATTTGTAATCTGATTTTGAATGTTTCCTGTACTTACTGGAACCATAAATTTTCTGTATGTTTCCTTATAGAAGAAAATCTTAGAAGAAGCTGGGAGAATGTGAACATTGATGGAATATGATTTTATGGAACTAGATACGTTAGGTGTTCATCTTACTAATGTGTCCATGCTCGTGTTTTCTGCATGTTAGTTATTTACTCACAGAAATGTTTCGTAATGCTTACATTTTGATGGTACATTTTCTCTTATTAGCAAGACTTCATCTTGTTCCGTGCTTATGTAACTAATCTGTTCTTTATCTCAGGTGTCCTATTTCCTTTGCTATCTATGGCTAAAACCCTCTTTACACATGTACATGATATTTTGAGCAATACACCTAGCTTTCACTCAGACTATGGAACCATACTCCGCCATCTTTTGGAAATTAGGGAGTACCGTTTCCAAATGAAGAAGCGGACATATTCCAGTGAGTTCTCTACAAATCTTAATATTCTAATTTTCTAGTCTTTTTATGGATAGGGAGTGTATGGTGTTGGATATCTTTTAAACGTATTGTTTCTTTAAGGTTTGGTGCTGCTATACATTGAACGGGTGGAAGCAGGGTTTTGCGAGAAAAACAATGGTCAACATAGCCAGAAGGAGGAGGCTTTTCGTTATATCCTTACGCTTCAGTCACTTCTAGAGAAACCCCCAGGAGATTATCCTGATGAACTTCGAGAAGAAATTGTGAATGGCCTCATTCAGATCTTCTCTTCTGTAAGGTCTGATTTTATTTGTTACTCAATGTCTCACTCAGATTATACCCTCCGTTGCAAGTAATAATTAAATACTAATCTATTATAACATTTCTAGGGATGAGGGAAAGCTCTCACGCAAGCTTATTGAATGTGTAAATTCGTTCTTGCTGAAAGATGGTCCTAATATAGGCTCCTTGTCATTGGAAATTCATAATGCAGCTCAACAGTTTGTTTTCCGTTTCTGGTTAACAACCCATGATAAGAATCTTAAGGTTATATTTTTGTTGTTGTTGTTGTGTGGTAGCCCTTTGTTACACACGTGATTTTGTTCTTAGTACGGCTTCATGTTCTAAGTCAGTTTTTCTTTTGTCTTCTTGTTCTACCTTATAGGAGATACTTGCTTCATATGGAAGGCTACAACTAAATTTGACAAGGGGCTCTAGTGAATCTAGTTCTCTGGTGGAACAACTTTTGGACGTGGTTACTCGTGAACTGGATCTTGGTAGTTCATCAAGTTCTGCATCATGGTATATCTTTTCTCCGTTTCCTCTTCCAAGGATGACTTCTTAACTTCTACACATCTCGTGAAGTTATGGATTTCTGAATAAAAAAATTATTTAGGGGTGATTCAACCAAGGATGACAAGTTTGGGACATTGAGCAGCTATCAGAATAGCTTGGTTGAGTTGGCTGCACATGTGCTTTACCGGGTACCTGGTTTAAAATTCAAATTATTATGTTCTTCACAACAGAGTTCCAACTCCATCGACCATTTTATTTTTATTTTCAGCAGTGTCTAGATTTTGCTTCATCTATCTTCAGCACCTTTTTTTAATTGATTTGCATTATGATCTTCTGAATGATTTTTGGTCTGCAGCGAAGTTTGATCTTGTATACTTTGAGAATAGTTTTTTTTTTTAACAGTCAATTGAATCCCGTCACATAAATGCATGTTTGCTCACTCCTTTTTGTATACTTGAATATGTGTTTGTGTCCGTTTGTTTTGCTGATATTCATAACTTTGGCAGGCAGTTGTCAATACTACAAGACCATCACTGACAGAGAAACGAGCTCGAAGGCAACATATTGCATCGCGTCTGGTGGAGGCACTTACTGAAGGAAAATGGCTGTGGTATGTTTCTGACCAGAGTAACATTAGAGCGTATCTAATCAGCTGATGTCTTCTTTGCGAGAGTTGTTTTCTAGATATATGTGTAGCCGTATGATAAGAATGCCTTTGATGAGTGTATTATTGACACGTAACTTCATTCCACTCTGTAATGCTGGAGCAATGTCAATGCATATCACATTTCTTATTAAGGTCTCTATTGTTTCTGTCAGTCTAGGTTCTGTCCTTGCACTATTTTTAATTTCTTTGCTCCCTGCTTTACCTAGAAACATTATTTATTATGAATATGTGGAATGAAGTACATAAGCTTTGTCCAGGTGTGCTGCTTTTGGTTTTCTAGTTCGGACTTATTGTACCCGCATCAACAAGGATCTCCTTATTTACTGGTTTGAAGCCATCTGCACAAACTTTCAGAGGTAAATTAGGAACTTGTACTTAATTATAACAGTGGACTGCTTTGGTTTACTTAATCTTGTACATGACAGACTTCTGGAGGATGCCAGTATGAGACGTTCGTATGATGGTCTATTATGGACTTTAAGGTACGGTTTAATGGCGTTAAGGTGTTTATGATTCTGACTCTGCAGCAAGTTCCTTCATATATTTGCAAATATTCCTTGTTTAATACAAAAGGATATGTAAACGATATGAAGCACTTAGGATCTTTGTGTGCTTTAAAATTTTAAGTTTTAGTTCTCTGATCCTATATCTTACTTTGTGAAACTTTATTTCTTTTTGAAGGAGTTTGCAAGGGCTCTCTTCTAGTTTATTACTACCAGATACTACTATGGACATATCAAAATCATCTGTTTCCTCAAGTGAGGTACCTGCCTTTACTGCCTTTCTGTCTGTGTGAGTCTGATACACATATGATAGGTTAGAGCTTTCACAGAAACATGGGTTGGCGAGGTTTAAAGTTGATTTGGTGCTGTTACTAAAATAAAAATTAATACTTGAATCCAATTACACCGTGGAGAAATTGAGGAAAGATATTGTTTCTCTGTTTGTA